GGGGGGTGGGACATATCTCAACATAACTAAGTTAATTAGGAATCCAAACAAGGCAATTTCAAAATAACTATCAATAAAGGTCTAAAGCCCCTTACATTTTTGCAAGAAAGCGATAGGTTATCGAAAACTAACACTTCGACCACAATAGTGTCAATTGATCATTGAGGGCGAAAAGTACAAAAGCCATTGAAGCCACCCACGCAAGGCCACCGATTTCTTTGTGAGGTCTCGGGAAGTTAAAGAAACAGCAGTTAGATGTTGAATGACATTTTGGAATTCAATTAAACTTCAACCACTGCGTGTCATTCCCATGCTCGGTGATATTGTTTTAAATTATCAATGATTACCTCTTCAACAACTGATGATTTCAAACGCAGTAAGCTACCCAATTAAGTTTTAACGCAATTCGTTATTCGGAACTGTTAAAAATGGCCCTTAATGGTAATAGATCATTGAAAGATTATGCAAGAGAATACTACAAGTGTCAGAAAATTAGCTATAAATAACACTTGATTGTGCTAATTTACGTTTTTCCAACTCTAGAACCGGCAATGCAGTTGAGATTGTTAGCTTTATGAACAATTTTAACTCCACAGGTAGAATTTAAACCCTCCAAAAACCACATTTGATTAATGAAAATAGGTCATTATGGGTGACGTGCAGGTTTTCTATTTGCACATTTAAGTAGCAGCAAGCCAAGATCTAGCAATCATTTCTTCTCATGATTCTTTCTATATTTAATTAACTTAGAATTTTCTTGTTTGCTTGTTTGTTGCCAAATATTTGTTGCTTAATCGTATTTTTTATTGATCGATTAAGTCCAATCTACATCTGTGGGTCAACGTGGTTATCTTCATCGTCAGCGCTCAGGCATTAGGAGTTCAATAGGTGCGTAACTTATGTGCGGAATGATCAACCGCACTACTTAAGTCTAAATAATAAAGGCACCAACAAAATTTGGGCTTTACGGCGCTGATGCGTTTTTCAGATTTGCAAAGGCGCTGATAAACGCTATACCGATGCTTATAATGGGACTTAAAATGATCAGTAGTATGACCAACCTTTCAGTTAATTCAATCGTCCGATAAAGTCTAAATGTCATGTACATGAATTCAACTAGATTCTAGTGGATCACTTATGATCAGTGCTTCGATAATTCGTAAAAACTGTGATCACCAAAATCATGGCTACATACTCAGCCTAGATCCGGCTCCTAGATTACAGTTTTGCTATCCCATTTGCTCTGACTTTAGCACATAATTAAGGCTTGTAAATTTGGTCACATGGTGTTTCAAGGAAGGAACTTCATTCAAGTACCCCATACCTACTTATATACACAGTAAGTAATATGACTCAGTACAGTAGTCCTAAAACGATTCCAAAATCAATAAGAGTCTGAATAAAAGTCATTTAACAAGCTTAACTATAGCATCTTCGAAATTCGATGGTGAAGAACAGCTTGTGTGTGAAAGGAGAGTAAAATTGGAGACGATAGTCAGAAAGAGAAATATAGGGTTCCGAGATCGAAATTTACAAGTGATCGCATCCACAACAAATAGCGATGTCTGTATAGACGTGAAGGTATATCACGCCTTGTGTTATATAAAAGCGAAACAGCCGACCAGCTTTTGAGTGTTGCACGTTGGTCCATTTAGGGGAGGTAGGCCGAGGTTACTTTACTTAGTCTGTGGTTGCTGTCTCATTACTACTCGGGGGCTTGTCTCGCATCAACATAGGCTCTCGTTCACTCCAATCGCTTGCTACGTCGTAGTCGGTATTCAGACTGTCTGCCAACTTCGTAGGGAGACGAGATTGATGATTTTTGTCTGATGATGGCATCGATTGCAACCATAATCTTACTTCGGCAGCACTTTTTCCCGTTCCTTCATTGCCTATTTTTAAGAGAAAGAAATAGTTTTTTGTTTAGTGGCATTGGCAGTTGATGGCAAATAACTAAAATTAAGCGTCTAAACCACACTCTTTATTATGCTGTGAAGAGTAATTCCCAACCTCAACTTTCAATTTGACTATGGTGTATCACCACTGAAGCGGAGAGATTATATACCTGATGATTTTGAAGCACAAACAAAGTTGAATTAACCGGCAGTTTTAAAGGTGCTATTGAGTTAAATACTTCATATTAGTAACCGTTTAGACGTAAGTTTGTTTGCATGGTTAAACCACAAAAAGTTAACACTATTTATCAAGTGTCAATCGAAAATTTTTGAAAACATACTTGACTAGGACTAAGTTCGTCATTATTATGAAATATCTACGAACCAATAAATGTGAAAGGTGTAGATAAAGGGAAATATGGTCCAAAGCGTGTGCACAGATTTGAAAAGAAAGCATTTAAGTGTTAAAGAAAAGAGGCAAATGTGGAGATGGTACTACTGTCAAATAGGAGTAGATATCTACTCAATTACATATACTTAATTAAAAGATTTTAGGTGCATACTTAGATTGCTTTGCTTTTCCAACGAAATTCCCTTTTGTGACAAATATTAGTTACATCATTGTTTGGCAAAGTGCCACTTGAAATTCAGTATTTGTAAGGTGAAAGAAGGTGAGAGAGTAAAGAATTTGTGAAAGTTAAACAGTTTGGAAATTATTAAACACCCATTGTAATAAGTATTGATTTTAGGTAGGAGAACTTTCAAACAGTCTTGAAACAAAATCTACGAGGCATTGAGTCGATTGTGTGGTTTTGGGTTATGAGAGGATTGTCAATCACATAGGCTTATATCGGCTTATTAACAAGGCCATTAGAGGAACTAGACCAACCAGATTATGTGGACACACGTCTATGCGACTTTAAATAACCCATCCTTTGTGTTAGTTCTTTAATTCTCCTATTTCCTTTCTTTCCACATCGGAAAATTCATAGTCCTCACAATAAGCGCCAGTTTTTTGATCAAGTTAAATAAATAAACCATTTCTTCGCTATTAGTTCGTGCATAACCTAAAGCTATCGGTAATTGCTCTCTGTACATCGTATTTAACCTCCGTATAGGAAGAACGTAGTTTAGAAAATAACATAAGATAAGTTTTTCAATTCTAGGTCCTGTTTTATTCCCAGTGAGGGTTTAAACTCTTACGTGTTGAAACAAATTTGGGATAATTTCAGCAGGTTTTCCCTAAATCCACCAACTGTTCGGTACTAGATCTTGGAGTAAAAACGGAGCGAAAAGGGAAATGAAATGACAATTTAGTAAATAATCTCTGTTTTTTTGAAGTAAAACGCATATGATTGACCCAGCTGCTGTTGTAAAATTTCAAGTTTTTTTTCCTTTCAGAAACGACATAATATGAAGGTGGTGCTTGTCGTTAGTTAATGAAATATGTATTCCCCTAATGGACCTGATAAACATGTTTGGTATTAGACACATTCGAGCTATCTTCGATTGTCTGAAAGACAAATCGACTTGCCATATTATTGTGTAGGTCTGAAGAAATTATATTTCCCAAGCAGAATGAAAACTGTAATAGGATGCGATATTGTTTAGAGTTGACTTGGTGAACTAAAAATTTTGGTAAAAAAGAGTGACGAGTTATGATTTATTTCTATAATGCCCAAGTCTTATTCAAATGTTGAATATATGATAATGCTTTAGTTTTTTAAACTCAAGGGATATATATGCATGTGTTTAGATAAATCAACTCCAACGTTCTTACCAATGTTAGGAATAATTTCTTTAAAATGAATAAAGAGAGTCTACAGTCGTGTAAAGAAGCAATTGTAATTTTTTTAAAATTAAGTGAAAATGCGGAAACATGTGTCTAAGATCTCGCTGAACTATCGTCTTAAATGTATATTCAATAATTCACAAAGACAATACACCTACGGACTAGACTCTACCGTAAATAACCACTTAAGCCATTAATCATAACCAAAAGAACATCTGGAAGATGGTATATTTGTCTGTCTTTATTGCTTACTTGTTACAATTCAGTGAGCATTTCTAAAATTTAAATATTTTAGAACTTTCCTAAGACATTAGAACATTTGAGATTAATCTGTTATACTAGTTGAATTGAAAATTGCCAAAATTAAGCATTCGATATTTCAAACCTAGGAATGCTTAAAAGGTCAACAAGATCGATCGAAAAAAAGCCAATAAAATAAGAAGACGCAAGAAACTCTTCAATAAATATATTTGTATATCAAATTATTTATTTAGCAAGCAGTAATTTCAAAGTGGAATTATTTTTCTCATTAACTTATTGACAATAATTTCCTTAATCATGACGAGTAAATAGTAGTCAGAATTGAAAAGGGTAGGTGAGTCAAAGAGTAGCCTCTCGCTGTGATTTGTCAGTGGAAATTGATTGATGAAGGGTAAACAATGCTCATTCCCAGTCACTCAGCTGTTTGGCACGCGCGGCAGTGCCAACAGAACCCACAGAGTAAATGCGCTAACACACACGAAAATATGAAATCGAATGGTGAAACGAATGGGAATTATCTCAACTCTTGAAGAATTGGAATAATTACGAATAACTGCCCTCCAGAAACTAATTCCGCGTCTCTCTCTCTCTATCTCTATCTCAGGTTGAATGATCTCCCTCAATAACGGAGGAAAGATTGAAGAACAAGTTTAATTTTTGAGTTTAAACTATTAACTTTATTATTCTCTAATTTCCTCTCAACCATGTGATTGAAAAATTATCCAATTTAGTAAAGCTTTCAGTAAACCCACAGACGAAACGATTTCAACTACTTTAATAGTCTGCGAAGGCATGAAGTGACATTAATTTTTTCCATTTACTTTAAGTTAAATTTGATTAGAGTTCAGTGGGCAATACCTTCCGATGGCATGCTAGAAGGATGCTTATTTTTCTAATCAGACTCGAATTTGTGAGGTTTTGATGATAAAAGCTATTATTTGTGCACCGAAGTCAGCTTTCATATTTTCAGTAAATCAATTTCGAACATGAAGATTTTTCACAAGGCTTTGTTCAGAAATTCAATCATCGATTTTTCTCCATTCGCTATTCAATCTATTGAAACTTGCAATATTCAGAGGAAAACTAGAGTTGAAGCCTTACAAACTGCAACCGAAAATATTTTAGGGTTTATCTTTACACTCTTGCTTATTTAGAAAAAGGCAGTTAATATTCAAGTGAATCAGAGCTTTGAGTTTTGCCATTGTGAAATAAAAATAAATATTTTTAAACTCAAAAATGATTATTAATAACTCTAGGATTTGCTAATCTCTTTGTCACTTAGACAGGTATTTGCTGCTTTTTTGCACTTGGAATGACGTAAATACTTCAACGGTTATTTTAACGTTATAAGTGGGAATTGGTGAGAATCTACTGGGTTCAAAATGACAAATTTTCGTCGGTGAACACTATTAATCCTTAACTTTATTAATGAGTAGTAACAGACACCTAGATAATACCTTGGACTAAATCATATGCCATAATTAATTATGAAACATTATATCCAACCTCTATAAAGTCGGTGAAAATAATTTTTTGTATGAAAATGAAATAAAAATAACTCACCAGATTCTTCTAACGTCGCTTCATTAGCCATCGCTTTTGATTTCAGTGTCAAATCTGCTTTCAAAAGAGGAGCCGATGATCTTTCTGTTGAACTTGAAGGTGGTGGCATCACTTCATACTGATGTCCAATCACCGTCGCTGGCACAAGTACTGTCATACCGGGTTTAGGTGATCCACTACCTCCTCCTGCACTTGCCCCATCTCCAGCTCCTGGCTTTTCAATTAAACTCCCAACACCTGGACTACAAAGGGGTCCCCCGTAACCCATCATAGTAGCCAATTGTGGTTGAGATGCTCGTACAGTACCACCAGGGCCTAGTACTACGGGTACGTAGTGATGAGGATGATGAGACGCAGGCTCGAATCCAACCTCTGACATGGGTCTTTCGGAAAATACTGTTTCTCTCGAAGTCGCCCGCTTCAATCCAACGTAGTATGAGGGAACAAACTGATGCCTTAACCGGTGTGTAAGGTGTTTAGACCTTGGTGTAACAGGTCCCGACCAACCCATGGGTTCGAAGTTAATTGGGTGCGCACCAGAATTGGGAATAAGTTGAATGGGTTGGGGTCCAGAGATAGCGTGTGGCAGAGAAAAGCCAGAGTCCGAATTCCTTCCTGCTGAATTACTAAGTGTACTTCCGTTAGCTGCCTTACCTTCTGGATGACTGCGTGGAGCATTTTCACCTTCAAAAGGACTCCATAGAACGGGGTTCTCGATAAGAGACTCATCGGGGATTGCCATTGACCGACGGAAAATGGAAATTGGTGTCATTTGTTGGGAGGCTAGAGGTGCACCAGCGGGAATCATTCTTGGATCGGCAGGGTACCATGCCATTGCGGGGGGAATACCTGGTGCTTTAAAGTCACTATGACAGCCAAAAGTATCACCACCTTTCAGTTTTCGTTTATCTACAATAAAGGAATGGATGTTGATTACTAATTTATAAATTTCAAGTGATCTTTAAATATGTGGCAAATTCGCACATTTAGTAAGATTACCTTTAATAACTTCTTCTTCTCCGCATGCATAACATTGACAAACACTTTTATTCAACGAAATCAAAAAAAATAATTTTTTCCGTATTCCATATTTCCCAAAAATTCAGACTCTTTTGGGCTAAATATAACACAGGCTTAAAGAATTTCATAAGGAGAATAAAAATCGAAAATTGAAGTGGAATCAATCCCTCAATGCCATCTTTCTTTGGTATCTTTTTTTATACGCTGCGTCTAGGAAAATTAAACTTATGTATGAAAGCTGATGCACAAAACATGGTTTTGGTCTCTATGGCGAAGGGAAAGAGGTTGATCCAGAAAGAGAATCGGTAAATTGATAGGAAGACGGACCACAATTGAGAAAGCATCGTCAATTGCTTCATCTTCACAAGTGACGTAATCAATACATCACATTAACGAGACTATTAGCAAATAGTTTAATTGGAGATACTAAGAACGTGCTCTTGAGGTTCCTTGAAACGTAAAGAGGGAGTTCCTCGAACGCAGCTTTCTCCCTCCTCTAATAAATACTACATTGAAGACCAAGCATGCACCCAGTTGAAATAGTACCTGTGTTATGACATTTATTTCACTGGAGAAGTACGAGAGTAGGACACTTTTCCCGGGAACCACTTTCCTTGTTTATAATCCCATCAAAATACACTTTATGAAATTTCGCATTAAAAGCCAATAATCCCCTCCCCCTTCGCTCCGATAGGCGACAGTTAGTAATCAAATCACCTTTATGAATCTCAAGTCTTCTGCCAATCCATCTTTTTCCCTTAGTTTTCATTTAATTCTCGTTTTTATTATTTACATTTTTTCCATCCCAAAGCCAGTCATTCTATGAATCAAATGATCTACGTGTGCGAATTGAAACTGATAGGAGTATGAAGTACTTCCATGTCAGATGTGATACTCTTTTAACAACTGTTCGCATCTTGTGCCATGTGTAGTATAACCAGGTATGGAATAAGTCCCCCTAGTATAGTGATCAATTATATACAAAACAGATATGTAGCCCGATTACGACCTGCGTCGATCATTCATTAATGACGTCAATTGCTTGTTTATCTGCATTGAAGCTCGCCATAGCGAGCACCATAAATTCACACACGATTATCGATCAACTTTAAAGATGACTTACTTCTATGATGGCGTCGAATAACCCATCGAAGACAGCAGAAACAGTTGATTAGCATTGATAAGGCGAGGGCAGCTAGTGCTATAATTATAATCATTTCCGGTGTCCAAATTCCTCCTAAAGAGAAGAGACAGGAAAAAGGTGAATAAGCGTCATTAACCGTCAAAAAGTCACAACAGAGAAGTCTTTCCCTCACTTTGCGTCAACCGGTAAGTGGGTGCGATCAATGAGAGATGAAAAACTCGTTTTTTTGACCTCTTCGTTCGGCTCTTTCTAGGTGCCAGTTTAGTGACTTATTTACAGATTCTTCTTTCCATTTTTCTCTCATTCACTTAATGACTTTGTCGCAATTTTCTACATTTAGTTCTCTCTGTGATTAGAAGAGCCAGAACACGGTTAATGGGGTTGTTAAGACTTAGGGGGGGGGGGTGGTGAGGGGTGGACAAATGAGGCGTGTTTAAGAGGGTTTGGCCTATGTGTGGTCAAATTTGACATCCGGTTGGATGAGTCATCATCCTGTAATAACGTTCCTGACAAACCCTGTGCGAAAACCCATTTCAGACAGGGGGAAGTAGGAGGTGTAGTTCAAATACTAAAACTTCAATACGCCGTTAAAAAATTCGAGTATGAATGCAGTTTGACTCCAGTGCCAAAATTGGGCGCCACTTTAAGCTCACAAGTTCACTGTCCCCAGAACGTCGTAATTATGCTTGAGGGGGTCTGGGAGATTTTATTGCGGTTTGTCTGCCTATTTTAGTATCGTTTCGCATACTGGTGACCTCAGTGGACTTTGTCGTACCATCGAAGAAGGGGTAATAAAATATGATCATAACCTTCTCCACCTGCTAATTGCTTGATTAATGCATTGGATGAGCACTAGCCTAACTCACAGATTATCTATCGAGAACACATTTGCAACTTCATAATTTAATTAAGCTTAGTTTCCCTTCCAACATAGTTAATGAATATTCAGCTGACTTCAAAATATTACTCATATATAACTGGGTCAATTTGAACATTTTTTTATTAAAAGTTGGCTGAAATTATATTTCTATATTTCTCAAATTAAAAAAAAAACAGGTTGAACTAAGCAACTTGATGGAAAATATAGAAACTTCATTGCTTGTGCATGGGAGATCAATCATGAATTTCTTTAAGTAGAGCCGAAACGATCGCTTGTCGAATTATCTTTGTCTTTAAAAGTTCTCCAATCGATTAGTTAAGGTTTGTAATATTAGAATAGCATCTAAATTTTAGAATTACACAATTCCAATATGCATATTTAGTTCGGTTGCCTGTTTACTACTCACCCAAACCTATCCCAGGATGTTAGACTAAATTAAAGACATCCCATACACATTCATCTAGATTGTGCAATTAACTCCGTATTCAAAAGCCAAATTTTTGCTAATCATAAACGGAAAATTCTCATAATTGTGCAGTAAGTAGGATTAAAGTTTGGGAAAGTTTGACATCAACGTCCGAATTCTAATCCATTACAAAAAAATGACTCATACCATGGGGGCTCCCAACCGAATTTCCTGGGCTTTTCTGACAATAATGGCAAATATTCCACCTCACAAGTATAAATAAAGTGGATGGGAACAATAAAAAGAGTCCTCCACGTTTTGTTTTGTCTTCAAACTCCTCTATTCATACCTTCACCCAAAAGGGTTACAAGCATCAAAAGACTGTGAGAATTTTCCCAATTCCCAAACAGTGCCTAAAGCATTAGTACCAAGACCAACTTTCCTACAGGTTACTCAGATAGACCTTTCCCTATAATATGTAACCAAATGTAAGAAGACGGTGAGTTCATCGTAGGGGAAATGCAATCGGCAAAAGCAAATGTCCACTTACGGAAAAAAGTAAACAACAAAAAATTTGCCTTTCCTCTATTTTTAAATATCAAACCACATCAGACAATTCGCATTACTCCTCCCCCTTGGTGTCCTTCAAAAGTCATTTGAGGTGGTATACTTTTTCTGACTTTATAAGAAGTGGATGAGAACCCATCAGCATCAAAATGTGATGAGTTTCTTTAACACTTTAGGAGTTAAACAATTATCTAAATAGTGTACTCAAATGCTTGATCACCAGCTCACGTGTATGGTAGTGGCTGCCAAAACATGTGAGGCACGTCTATTACATAATATTGCCAGAATTTGCAAAGTAATGTGTTACCTGCTGAGGAATTTCGAAGAAAGGTAAGCCAATGTTTCCCTTCGTTTGCATTGTTTGGGGAAGATATAATCACAGATTTTGTTTCATTTACATCACGGTATGAGGAGGGTTCAGTTACTCTTCGTTGCTGAGTTGCGGTGGTCATCAACATGTTCGTCGTAGTTGAAGTACTTGTTGATTCGGTCTTACTTTTCGGGCTTGTTCCCATCTCCCCTGAAGGCCGTATTTTCTCTTTCAATCGTGTCCAATTTGTCTGCACTGTTGCGCTAACACAGGAGAAACCTGGATGTTTCCAATCTATCCACTCTGGGGTTACATGTTCGACAGTGTATTCGAATACGATCTCTCCATTTGATTGAGTAATCGACCTGCATGTTACTCCTTGTAATGCAGCCACAATTCTGCATTCGTTGTTACTATTGCATTCCTCTAGGGGTCGACAGTTTTGAAAACAGAAGTTCTCCTTTGGAGTTGCTGGACAGTAGAGACTCATGCTACTTTGGGCCAATACGGCTCCTTCTTCTGATCTTGGGTTGATATGACAACGGATTGTAACACTTTCCCCTATGGATACATTTTCCACAGACAGGGAGATGGAAAGAGGTGGCTGTGCAGAGTAAGTAATAGGCTGTGGTATGGAGAATACGTCTAGAATAAACTGAGTGAGCAGGAGGAGGAGGAGAGATACTGGCTTTATTGTAGGCCACATTGCGTGTACAATCGTGTTTTGTGAACGTGTGCTGTGTTTTGTTGAAGAATATGCCCGGTTCTCGCTCAGCCCTGTTAATGGCCCATCGCCCTTTACAGCGCCTTCTATTCTGGCCTTCTACGACCTCAATATGTGCGCGTGTCTGTCTACAGACTATCTTCCCCCCCTTTCTATACGGTGCGCACAAGCACGTTTTCATACATACTCCTGTGTGCATATCAGGTGGATTATTATTGGTCAGTGCCTAGTTAACTCGTTTTTTATTGGTGGAGAAGGAAGATGCTGCACACACAAACGCTCAAACGGACTGTTGTGACATCATATATGACCTCAATTGAGACAGTTGTTATCACGTCCCGCAAGTGATCAATTACTTAATTATTGTGGGGTGTCACTGACCCTTAAATTTCGCTCTCCAGTTGGTAATCAGTAGAATAGACGACGAATAACCATGGGCAAAGGATTATTTTTGTTCTAATTAACACCATTTTCAATTTTTTTGGAATCCAACTCGATAGCAGATTAAATTGTTCTACTATTTCCTTCTTCCAAATTGTGATATTGATGCCGACTAAGACAGAATAATTTTTATAACCATGAGAGTTTGTTGATAAAAATGGACTTTATTGATTTGGACTGTATCCAGATTGTTTTATTCTTAACAATATGCCACTTTTTTATACTCCACATTTTAGGAGGTTTCCAACGGAAGGAAATAAATATTTATGAGGATTGTGGGGTCATGTGTTGTTTAAAATTTATAGTATTTATATTCCAAAACTATATTTGGTTCATTTGGCAGTCTGATGGCAGTATGCATAAAATTTTATTTGCAAATATTATTTCACAATGAATTATCTCTAACATCAGTATGAAGAATAGTAGGGGAACTGTGAATAGGTGGAATGAAATAAAACATTTTACGATTTCTAAAATATATTCCACACTGATAAAAAAGCAGTCACTTATATCTGGAGGTTAGGAAATGATATAGTCTCTCTCATATATCTACATATGTTATTTTTTCATTTCAAATGCATATTACGGTTAACTTACAGTCGCTTTAATGCAGAAGTTAAAGTTACACGGTCCCTTAGAGTAAGAATATTTTATGTACATTTATAAACATTTGAATTATTCACATCTGTCAATTAGGCTTCGGAACTGGAAGAGTGGTTAAAAAAGTGATAAGGGTGAATTTTTAGACCCCAATTTTCCATAGAGTGAATTAACTTCGGGAGGGGTTAATTAATGAAAAGGTGATCGATATCACGATTTCTTGACTAAACATTAATCATTGTTTCAAAGCACAAATCCGGAATATCGGA